GAATGGGAGAGCCCGTGGGTGTGGGAAGGGGCACAAGCATCCCACCATGAAGCAGCATTCCACCGTGGGACAACATCCCATGATGGAGCAGCATTCTACCATGACGCAGAATCCTACCATGGGACAGTATCCCATGGTGGGGGAAGCATTCCATGGTTGGGGCAGCATCCCATAGTGGAGCAGCATCCCATGGTGGAGCAGCATCCTACCATGAAGCAGCATCCCACCATGGGATAGCATCCCATGGTGGAGCAACATCCCACCAGGAAGCAGCATTCCACCATGGGACAATATCCTATAGTGGAGCAGCATCCCATGGCAGGGCAGCATCCTACCATGCGACAGTATCCCATGGTTGGGGCAGCATCCCATGGTGGAGCAGCATCCTACCACAAAGCAGCATCCCAGCGTGGGGCAGCATCCCATGGCGAGGCAGAATCCCATGGTGGGGTAGCATCCTGTGGTGAAACACCATCCCATGGTGGCATAGCATTCCACCATGAATGAGCATCCCACCATAGGACAGCATCCCATGGTGGACCAGCATCACACCAGGAAGCCACATCTCACCATAGGACAGCATCCCATGGTGGAATAGCATCCTACCATGAAGCAGCATCCCACCATGGGGCAGCATCCCACTTTGGGGCAACATCCCACCATGAAGCCATATCCCACCATGGGACAGCATCTCATGGTGGAGCAGCATCCCACCACAGAGCAACATTCCACTACGACGCAGCATCCCGCTGCAGACCAACATCCCACAACATGGGACCAGCTTCCCACAACAGACCAGCATTCCAGACCAGCCCCAAAGGAAGGAGGTGTTACTAGGAAGCCAAAAGAGCAGGGCCAAGTGAGGAGGGCAGAGGCACAGAGGTGTAGGAGAAAGGAAAGACCCGGAATTAAGTGGTCAACTTTGACTTTCGGATGTGCCACTCCCCGTGACGCCTGGGGCAGGAGCCTGCCCCTGGGGGGTCTGCCCCTGGGGGCTGGCACCTGCCCTAAAGCAGGAGGTATGTCAGGCACATCTAAGGCATCACAGGAGATCTCTTTGCTTTCAGAATCACCTCAGTTTCCTCCCTACAGCTTCTTCCACCAGCACATGGTGCCAAAGGAGAGAAAAGTGTGGAGCAGATGAATGGAGATAAACTCATGCACCACCACCCAATGTTGTCACAGGAGTATGAAGCACCAACCACGACACATGAACCACTTTTACTTGCAGAACCAAAGCTAACCATACACAAAATGGTTAAGAAGTGGGGTTGGCCAGAAGCACAGAGCTGCCAGCACGCTGGGGCCAGGCAGGAGCTGCTGGTGGCCACTCAACCCCCTCTGCTACGCTACTGCCAGAAATGAAAAAGCACAAGACCAAACATTGAGTAACATCATAGTCACCTAACCTGTTGCTTATATATCTGAACAACTTAAATAAAAAATATTAGTTTGGAAAGAACCCAACAATATCATTCCAAGAAGGTTATACACATCCTTAGCAGTTACTTTGCTCAGCACAGCTCTGGTGCTTGAAATATGGAACAATCAACCAATTTTGTGAGCAGAAAAGTGACAAAGATTTATTCTTTACAGATTTTTTTTTCCTCTTTCTAGGCAACTCTACAGACTTCAGAGCTTTTGCCTTGCAATGTAGATCATCTTATTCCCCCAAAGGTGGCCAAGTTCTTTAAACATGCACATCTCTGTAGCTTCCAGGCCGTGTATTTTACTGATTTTTGTTTAAATTCTGTGGACTAGCAGGTTGTCCCCATTCCTAAAAACTCTACATCAGTGTTCAGGGTGGCCTGAGTGCCAGTCAGGCTCCTGGAGGCTTTACAGGATCACACAGAAGAACTTCTTCTCTCTAAAGGGGTTTTCTGAGGCTGGGACGGGGGTCAATAGAGGGTCCTCCTTGGCGTGGGCTTCGCAGTATGCCATCAGGTCTGCTGCTGCTTTGGACACCTGGAATAGAAGGAGCCTTGTGTTAGGGACAGGCTGTGTTGGGGACATCTCATGGAGAGATCCCACCAGTGGGGCTGGGCTGGCAGCATCCCTGGGCAGGTAACATCACACCTTTGACAGGAACTCAACCAACAACCCAACAGCACATGCCCATGGGGCTGGTTCTTCACCTCTGGGCTCTAAGCTGGTCTGTCAGGATGCATTCCCAAGAGCATCCTTCGCCCATTCACATCCTTCCTATCCTTCACCATTCACATCCTTCACTATAGCATCCCTGCTCACTCTTCCCTGCATCCCTCCGCAGGGACATCACAGCTGCCACGGCAACACTTGCTCCCTCAGCCACTGATCTCTTTATTTATTCCAGACATGGCAGCAGCTCCCAAGCCACTGGAGCTCACCCCATCCCCAAGAGGTGAGGTGTTGCTTGCAAGCATCCAGACATGCTTGCAGCCAGCAGCCAGCCCTGGAGCACTTCTCTCCCTGGATTTAGGCTCTCTCAAAGGAGGGGAGAAGCCTTGTGGACAGTCAATCTTTCTCACCCTTCTGGCAGGGCTCCAGGTGATGATTCCAGCTGCCTTCCATCCCTGGAAGCATTCGAGGTCAAGTTGGATGGGGCTTGGAGCAACCTGGGCTAGTGGAAAGTGTCCCTGCCCATGGCTCGGGGTGGAATGAGATGATCTTTAAGGTCCCTTCCACCCCAAACCAGTCTGTGAGTCTGTGATTCCATGGGTGAGCATATCCCACTGCCCTCAGCCACAGCTAAACATCCTCCACAAACACTACCCACGCCCATGTGCTTTGGGCAGCTGCCCAGCAGCAGCCACCACCTCATATCATTCCCCTGAGCCCACAGGCAACTCCCAAGTCTCCCTACCTTTATCCTGTCAATGTTGGCCTCCATCTTCAGCTGCTCCACCAGCTTGCGAGCTTGAGCTATGCTAGCAGTGTTGTTGCTAGCCATGGCCAGGCTGGGCACAATCCCTGGATGGGCTGTGGGCATGAACACACAAGGGTCAACCATTGGGCTGCTCCCAGCTCTGAAATTCCCTAAATTATGTGTTGGAGCTGCTAGAGCTGTGGGAATGAGGGTGTGAGGACGGGAGATGCAGACTCAGAGCAGAGAGCTGCTAGTGACCCTCCTGTGCCCCCCCCATCGTCTCCAGAGTCGGGGCTGCCCCATGAGACACACTTAGGGAACACTGGGGACCAGCAGGACCCCAGCTGGTCTGTTCTTTGGCTTTTGCTGTTCCATGAAATCCTGTGACAGCCACAAGGCAAAAGAAAATGAGAGACCAGGCTCTCCCCAGCAGCCAGTGCCAGGCTCATTCCCTGCACATCATGCAGCCCGTGCCGGTGCCCAGCGTGTGTCCAGTGTCCCTTGGCCTCCCTTGCTTTGTCTGTGCTGCCAATTTGAACACTGAGATGCTAAACAGGATGCTGGAGTTTCCTGTTTCTCGAGATTTCTCCCCCAGGCAGGCAGGGGACACTCATTAAACCCACGCTGGCTCCATCACGGATGTTTTTCCGTCACCTTCTAACAGCAGTGAGCTCCGGCAGCGGCAGCCAGAATCCCTGCATCCAGCTCCTCTGGCAGCCAACGCTCCTACAGGCACAGCCTCTTGCTCCTGCCTGCCTGAGGCTGCCTGCCAGCTCCACAGTGGGCTGTTTTTTGGGATGTCCTGCAGTAGCAGGGCACAGCGAGACCCCCGGGCAGTAGGACAAGGATGGCACAGGGAAATAAGGGAATTGTGGTGTTTTAGGAAAAAGCTGAGGGTACATCCAGCTCAAGCTCATCTAAGGGTGTTTAGACAGAGGCTTATCCTCGGGGTTATAGAGGGAAGCAGCTGGCAGTGGTGCTCAGAGGTGACTGGAGCCGGGGTTTGAGGATGAGACCCTTCCCAGCCACCCCCAGCCCAGTGGGAAGCACAAGGAAGGGTTATTTTTTACCAGAAGCAGGTCTCTCCGCTGCTTTGAGCCTCTAGGGGAAGAAGTGCTCCTCTTGGCCGTCCACTACCTTCAAATAAAGAGAGCACAAACGAGTGATGCCACTCAGCTCCATGAGAACATCCCCGACGGCCCCAGGACGCCTGGCAGACGCCAGTGCCGTCCCCAGCAGAGCCGGCGGGGAGGCTGTGGCTTTCCTTCCGTGTCCCCCCCGCCCCGTGCCCTGCAAGGACAGCCCCTAGAGACACTATTTGTTTGCCGTCAGTGAGGTTTTCGGCACAGGAAGAGGTTTCGAGTCAGTGGGCAAGTCTCCGAGGCTGCTGGCAGTCCCCAGCCCGCGGCACAGCCCAGCGCGGGATGCAGGATGCACAGGGCGAGGGGATGGATGCACACACAGGGCAGAAAGGGACTTTAAAAACCAGCATTCGCCAGGGAAATGCTGCCAAATCCTGCAGCCAAGCTCCCACCACGAGCCTGAGCTGCTCCTGGCTGGACCTGCTCTCCCCAGGCAAAGCTCTGCACCGTCGAGGTTGAGCTCGAGGCTGTGCACTGTTTCCGTGCTGGTTTAGCTCATCTCTCCTCACTTTCTTTATGGCTGGAGAGGATTTTGAGCAGCAGGTTACCAGGGTGCATCTCTCCTGCTTCTCTTTTCAGTTCTTCCCTGCAAAGCCTTGGAGTGGATGGTAGTGGTGGTGCCATCAAGGTTCTGGCACAGCAGCTGGTGTTGGGCTGGTGGAAAGCTCAAAGTTCACCAAGGTGTCCCTCAACCAAGGCACCATTGTGTGGTTTGGATGCTGCACAGACTTTTTTTTTTTTAATGAAGCAAATGTTATCGTGGTGAAATTTTCCCTGGAAGTGTTCAAAAAGTGTGTGGGTGTTGCACTTGGGGACATGGTTAGTGGTGGGCTTGGCAGCTGGGGGAAAGGTTGCACTTAATGGTCTTAGAGGGCTTTTTCAGCCTTAACAGGTCTATAGTTACATGATTTTTGGGGATGCTGTGCCCTTTCATACAGGGGAATGGTCTGTTGCTGCTCCAGTGGCAGGGCCTCACTTCAGTGACTTCAGTCACTCCATGTTTAAGGTCATGGAAGGAGGAGTGGGAGCAGGGAGCACTGCTGGGAGCTTCTGTAGGGCTGTTACAGCCTTGATCTTTAAAAGAAAGCAATGCATCCAACCCTGCTGCCACCCTCCTGCAAGGAAACTCTCTCTTGCTCTTATTAAGGCACTAAGGTGGGGAAGACAACCCCAAAACCAAGGCCAGAGAAGCCCCAGACCGTGCAGGGACAGCAGAGGGGACATCTGTGAGCACCCAGAGCCACCACACTCCTCAGCCACATTCAGCCCCTCTGCAGATGTTTCATGTAGGAACTAGAAGCAGTTTGGGGCCAGTGATGGTTTTAGAGCCACTGTGAGCAAAAGGTGTGTTTCCTTCCACATGAATAACAACTAGCAGGTGATGCCTCAGAGTGAGTCCCATACTGCAAAACAACCCTGCAACAGCAAAGCTGCTCCAACATGGCAGCCACAAAAGCAGCTTCTTAAATCCCAAAGTGAGGACACCCCACTGTACCCCCAGAAGGGTGCAGAGCCACCAGGAATAAACCTAAACCTCCGTGTCTTATGGTTTGGATTGGATTTATCATTGAATCCCAGAATGGTTTGGGAAGGACCTTAAAGATAATGTAGTTCCACCCCCTGCCATGGGCAGGGACACCTTCCACTAGCCCAGGTTGCTCTAAGCTCCACCCAGCCTGGCCTGGAACCCTCCCAGGGATGGAGCAGCCACAGCTTCTCTGGGCAACCTGTGCCAGTGCCTCAGCACTCTCATGGCCAAGAATTCCTTTCAACTAGCCCATTTATCCCTGCTCTCTGGTAGTTTGAAGTCATTCCCCCTTGTCCTGTCACTCCAGGCCCTTGTCCCAAGTCCTTCTCCAGATCTCTTGGTGCCCCTTTAGGCACTGGAAGGTGGTCTAAAATCTCCCTGAAGCCTTCTCTTCTCAGGGCTGAACAGCCCCAGCTCAGTCAATCCTCCCACAGCAGAGCAGGAAGCATCCCCATGTGGGACCAAAGGATGCTCTCCAGGATGGCTAGGCAGAGGACAAATTAATTCCTTCCCAATATCCCAACTATCCCTGCCCTCTGGCAGTGGGAAGCCATTCCCCCTTGTCCTGTCCCTCCAGGCCTTTGCCCAAAGTCCCTCTCCAGCATTTTTACATCCCTTTAAATGAATCCAACCCCTTCCACATGCAGTAAATTACCTGTGACCTCTCTACACAACGACCAATATCAAAATAACCTGGTGAGATTCCAAGTAGCAATCCCAGTGCAGAGCCCAGAAAGAGACAATATCCATGTATTGGAGATATTAAATATCATTAGCATGAAAATAATGAGTAAGGACTCATTAACCTGTGGGCTCCACAGCAAAAATCCCATTATCCAGGCACACATGTACCAATAAGTGAGGGAAATAAGACACTGTCTGTATTCCCTTGTGAGTGCCATTAAACCCTTTTCATTGCAGGCAAAGTTTAGCACAACAGCACCAGGTGTGAGAACAGCCCTGGGATAATGAGAAGAGCAGAAAATATTGGGATCTTTAGCTTTATGGCTGGGATTTTCCTGGGTAGGGTCAGGAGATGAGCTCTAACAGATGGAGGGGACCTATAGATAATGGGGTGTGCTGCAGTGAGTGCTGCCACATGTCCCCATGTGATGGCTCAGCATCATCAGTCCTGGCACAGACACACTGTGTCCAAGTGCTGCTGTCACCCTGCTGTGCTGGGAATGCCCAGAATCTCTAAATGGGGCCAGGTAGGCTCACTGCATCCACCACATGCCCAACCCTGGCTCTAAAGGCTCCCATCCTGCCCATGGAGAGATGACACTCCTAGGAAATAAACTGCCTGGAAAGAAAACTTCCTTCTAACAACCATCCTCAAATATTTTAGCATTTTTTCCTCTGATCTGAGGATACTTTCTGGAGTGTAGCTTGGTTGGCTGCAATTGCTAAAGAGGCACTGAGGGTTGAAGGAGAGGAGGATGCTCCAGCAGTTTGGCTTGGCTGAAATCTCTTCCCTGTGAGGGTGCTGAGGCACTGGCACAGGTTGTCCAGAGCAGCTGTGGCTGCTCCATCCCTGGGAGTGTTCCAGGCCAGGTTGGATGGGGCTTGGAGCAACCTGGGCTAGTGGAAGGTGTCCCTGCCCATGGCAGGGGGTGGAATGAGATGAGCTTTAAGGTCCTTTCCAAATCAAAGCAGCCTGGGATTCTGTGAAAAGCATTTGCAATAAGTGTCTGACTTGGAAATTTTGCTGCTGATTTTTGCCAAGCTCTAATAAACCACCTAAATTGTTGTTTTCTGTTGAATGAAGAACCATTGACATATTCAACTGACATTTTCTTCTTTCACCCAGCCAAAACAGGCACCAAAAATTGGGGTTGAGTTGGACAAAGAGTGAGGGAGACTCCTGATCCCAGGGCACTGCTGCAGCATCCACAGCTGTGGCTGCTCGTGATCTGCTTTTACCAGAACCTCCAGCTTTTACCCATGATGTGGAGCAACAAATGTGGATGTGGAGCACTGAGATGCTGCTTGACAGGATGAGATTTGGCCTTAATGTGCTCTGAGTTAACAGCCACCATTGCTTTGGGCCAAGAGACAACCAGCCCTCCTCCACCCTGCTAAGCTAATCCTCTCCCTTGCTGTCTGGATGCATTTCCACACAAAATGCCATGCACAACCCAAAAAAGCCACTGTGAAAGGAGCATTTCTTGATGCTGAGCCCTCCTGCTAAGCTGCCATCCTACTCCTCCCTCCCAGACTGGGCTCCTGTGGGGCTCTGGCATCCCAGAGCTGCCAGCTCTGCTTGCAAGAGTAATTAGGCTTCGTTTGCCAACTCCTTGTGAGCACAAGCTGCTTCCTGCTTTGCACAGAGCTGTGCTGAAAAGCTGAGGAGCAAGTGCTTGGGCAAAGGGGTCTCCAGGGCAAAGGGATCCTCAGGCTCCATGGATCAGCACCATCACTAACTCCAGTGCCAGCTC